CGGGATTGGAATATATAGACTTAACTCCTATTTTACAAATTGCTGAGCAAATAGATTGATGGATATCGCCAAATGGCAGCTGGCAGAATTCACATGTGAGACAACAGATGTCGGGTTGCCACTTAATCAGCAATGTGAGGTGTTTGGCTGTCAGTTGCCTCTTAAATGACAAATATGTATGCATATAAATGGCAGCTAGTTACTGTCTGATGACATCCTGAGGTCTTCTATTAGGCATTGATTAGTTGCTTGCTGTCAGATAACTCGCTACATTTGACTGTCAGTTGTTTGCTATGAAATGGTTTCTATTTGGTACTTTTTCGGACAAAATGGCAGCTGTCGTGTTATTGTAGTTGTAACGAAAACTTTAATGGCTGATGTCTTGAACGCTGATTTTTGGATATTTATTTTCAAAAATACTTTAGATAAGAAGAAAATTGTAAAGTGATTTTTCGATTTTGCTGAGAGATTTAAAGGTTCAAATTGTTAAATTGTTTTTCAAATTATGAATAAGGAGGGTTATAGTTTTCATTGGGTTTTGCAAAATACTAACTTTTTGTAACGAACCCCAATTCAAATTAAAAAAAAAAAAATTATTGTGTTGCTTCAGTTGTGTTTGTTTGGTTACAGAAAAATATATATATTTATAAATATTATCTGATTTAGCCACGTGCGTAATAAATGTCTCGAATTACTAATAATCACAAATACATATTCAAAACACAACCTGCTTCAAGTGCAATTTCGCTACTCGACGATCGCCGCGATTGTACACGAAGTGAAGGTGTGGTGGATGGCACATTTCTTTGCAAATATTCGCAACTGGTCGCTTCAGTGCAGCGAATTTTCACTGGCACTCGACTGTTTGGCGTTTAAACCACATGATAAATTGCTGTTATATTTTAGCCCGAGTGGTAATGCGAATTGCCACACTTTTCAAGCACAAGTGTTGGTGTGTTCGACACAAGCTTGGAAATTTCCATAAAAATCGCACGCTGCGTTAAATTTGCCGGTGAAGGAGTTGGCGTGTGCCGCCAACCTATAATTAAGCTATCAACAGTTCATCAGCGGCAAAAGCACCTGCAGCTGACAACCGATGTTGTTTAATGTGCGGCAAACCAGTAAGATACAGTTATGATGACTTATCGCAGTTGCCATTATAGTTTTGAAATATCTATTTGCCGAGTATTTCGTATATTTCTCAATTTACATTTGTTTAACTTGTGGTTAATTTCATATGATTTGTAGGCGTATATGTGACAAATCAATTATTCATTTTTATACTCTTGCAACATGTTACTACAGAGCATAATAGATTTGTTCACCTAACGGTTGTATATATTACTTAAAATTAATCGATACAGACATATGGTTATGTATATAAAAATGATCAAGTTGGGAAGACAAGTTGAAATCCGGGTTACTGTCTGTTTGTCCGTCCGTACGTCCGTACGTCCGTCCGTCAGTGTAAGCTGTAACATGAGTAACAAGTAAGAAAGGCCTAAATTCGGGTGTCACCGAACATTTTATACTCTCGAATGATAAAGTGATAGTCCAATCACGACAATTTTTCCACAAGGGATACCTCAGCTCAAATACCGTATTTGTGTAAAGTTTTTTTCCGCTATCATCACTGGTTCCTAATGTATACAGAGAAGGCATCAGATGGAATTCAAAATAGCGTTATATTGGAAGAAGGCGTGGGTGTGAACCGATTTCACCCATATTTCGTACATGTCATCAGGATGTTAAGAAAATATTATATACCGAATTCCATTGAAATCGGTCGAGTAGTTCCTGAGATATGGTTTTTGGTCCATAAGTGGGCGACGCCACTCCCATTTTCAATTTTTAAAAAAAGCCTGTGTACAGCTTCCTTCTGCCATTACTTCCGTAAAATTTAGTGTTAATCGGTTAACACACTTTTAGTGATTTTCAACATAACCTTTATACGGGAGGTGGGCGTGGTTATTATCCGATTTCTTCCATTTTTGAGCTGTATGTGAAAATGCATGAAGGAAACGACTCTATAGAGTTTGGTTGACATAGCTGTATCAGTTTCCGAGATATGTACAAAAAACTTAGTAGGTGGCGGGGCCACGCCCACTTTTCCAAAAAAATTACGTCCAAGTATGCCCCTCCCTAATGCGATCCTTTGTGCCAAATTTCACTTTATTATCTTCATTTATGGCTTAGTTGTGACACTTTATAGGTTTTCGTTTTTCGCCATTTTGTGGGCGTGGCAGTTAGCCGATTTTGCCCATCTTCGAACTTAACCTTCTTATGGAGCTAAGAAATACATGTACCAAGTTTCATCATGATATCTCAATTTTTACTCAAGTTACAGCTTGCACGGACGGACGGACCGACAGACATCCGGATTTCAACTCTACTCGTCACCCTGATCACTTTGGTATATATAACCCTATATCTGACTCTTTTAGTTTTAGGACTTACAAACAACCGTTATGTGAACAAAACTATGATACTCTCCTCAGCAACTTTGTTATAAAAATTAAGATATCTTGATGACTACACATGTTCCTTGGCAAAAATAAAAATTAAGATATAAAACTCTAAGTTGCCACATGAATTGCAGTAGCACGGGGCACCTTGTAAAAAACTACGGAAAAGTGGGCGTGGCGCTGCCCTCTTATGAGTTTCATGTATATATATACATAGGTATATCCTAAATCAAAAAATCGAAAGTAACCAAATTTGCTGAAATATTATAAGAACTCAAATCGACAGTGTGAAAACCGACAGGGTATGAAAAGTCTTTACGGAGCCGCTGTGAAATTGTACGATGGACGTGACACCGCCCACATTTTAGTGAAATCACGTATCTCGCCTGACCGACTCATTTCATTTAGTACGTAGCAATCCTATCATACTTGTATTCTTATAACACAGTGGGAAAATGGGCAAAATCGGACAACAACCACGCCTACTACTCATATAACACAATTTTAAACTTCTTCTGATTCTTTCATATTCCGGTATACAAATCAAGAAGTAATTACTATAACGGGATAAAATTTTGCACGAATAATCCCCTTAGAGGATCCCACCTTATAACCAAAATAGGTCAAATCCAACAAAAATTGTTCAAACTTTAGGTATCGAACATTTGGACCACAGTGCCTACAGTTGACTTTTGATTGGAAATGTCGGTCAATGTGTGATATATATAACTAAAATTAAAGCATAATCCTTCTATTATGGTATGTCTGTATGCCAAAAATGGTTGAATTTGACAATAGCCCCCATATACTTAATATAAAAAATTTTGAACTCTCCGGTGACTTTGTACCGCATATATCGGCCAACATGTGAATCATCTCTATGCAAATGAAAAAGCGCGTTTTACTGATAAGAGTGTGTCTTTGTGCATGGGTGACTGATAAATTTTGCTACATTAAGAAACTCAAATAATTTTTTTTTTTCAGTGTATGGAATTCATTTTTCTTTTGTTCATGTTAAAGCTCATTCAATTTTATTAAATATTGCTTAATTAGTTTTAAAAATAATGGAATTTAAATAATCCAAATTCTTGTTTCAGTGTCCCAGTTATCCATTTTTGTTAAATGTAAAAGTCAATCTGCAAAATAATAAAAAAAAAAATTAACCACATTCATTAAATAGAAAAAAAAGTTATTTTATCTTGTTTTTTTTTTGGTAGCGGATTTCATCAGCCACCTTGTAGATAAAATTGGGTTTGAATTTGACCTAACCCCCATATAACAAACCCAGCACGTACGGGTAACTTGATTTCGTATGATCCTACCTAAGTGAGCATTAAGGGAAATTTAATTAGTATGTGAAATAATTATAGAAGATAGAGTTTTTTTTAGCAAAAATAGATAAAATCGGGGCGATAATACCCCCACTTGCCATAAACTACATATATACCCTACATATGATTAATGATTTTCCTTTTTCTAACAAACTTTTTGCTGAATATGTTGCTCGCTGTATGAGTTATACGTATGAACAAATATATATATGAACTTCTAATAGTTCTATGATTCGAAGTTCTCCATAACTCAAACGCTTGATTTGGCAATACACATAAGTAAAATTTCATACAAATTTACTTCCATAGCTCAAGGTTTTTTCAAACTATCTTTTTTTACGAATTATGTTGGTTAGAGTTAAGGGAGTTCAACTGTGCATATAATTGCTTGGTCTCCAATCCTTTAGTTGACTTTGTTCTTACAAGTTGCAAGAGTATTCGGTTGCACCCGAACTTACTTCTGCCTTACTTGTTACATATAATATCTTTAGATATCGACTAATTTTCTATATGGAAATTAAAATATATATATCTATGGCATTTTGAGCGCCCATTTACCAGGGGTTAACATAAATATCTCGTTATAGATACAAATTTCCATTGTGTGATAAATGGTGACTCTGCATGACCATTAAGTTGAAACCTCTTCAAATAACTTTCCTGCGCGGTTTTAATTTTAGTAACATCTATTTTTATCTCTATTCCAAGTGATGTTTTAATTAAATACCAGCCAAACATGCGTCGGAAGACTTTCATATTTTGAAATTATTCCCTGTTTTATATACTTTTCTTTTCGTTAGTTAATAACTGTGTACTTCAGGAACTATTTTGTAAATTCTTTCTTGTTTAAGGATATTAAGAGTATGTTTTTGAAACTAATATTAAATATTTGAGATTCCATATTACATAGGCATTATAGATAATAGTTTTTCAATTGTCGATTAGAGATCATGAATTATATATCTCTCATCACATTATGAAAAACTCATCAACAAATAAAGGGAGAAACTCAATGTACTTTTTCTGCAAAGCTCCGAGCGTACTTTCCATAAGGTTAGAACTTTCTGAGATGAGTTTGCAATAATGAAAAGGCTCTGGTTTAATTTATAAATGTAGCATAAGTTTCTTGATAAAAATATGTACATATGTATGGAGAAGTACAATCTGTTGACTGTTTACTAACTTTTTAATCTTCTTTATTTCAAGGTATTGCGCTGATTATCGATGAGAACTATGTATATACAATCGGATGTGTCTGTGAAAATGGTAAGCTTGAATATAAAATTCTTGGTTATATTATTGAGTAAGCAAATACATAACGTAATCTTTATATATAAAAATAACGTGTTACGTTGTTTGTCCACGATGGACTCCTAAACTACAGAACCGATTAAGTAAATTTTAACACGCTTAGAACTTACAACTTAGAAGATGGGATGGAGAAAAACATTTATAAATAAAAAATACAGTAAAAGCTCTATTAAGCGGACACTTCTATTAACTGGACAGAAAGACTGGTAACCAGACATCGAGAAAGCAGCCTTAAATTCGTTATTTTTCCAATATAATTTATTTGTATGAACATATTCAAAATTAAATCCCAACTACAATCCTTTGGATTCCTTTACCGACAAAAACGGTTATTCGTAAATAAAGTTTTCACTGTATTGAATAGTTTATGACATGAATAGTAGTAGTAAATCCGCGTGGCTGGATCCAATAGTAGAGTTATAAAAAACACTTACTGAGGATGGTGATCCATTTCTATGACGCTACTTTTTTAAAGAAAAGAAGAAGAAGCAACTTCAAATTTAATGGAGAATGTTTATTATCATTCGAAAGAACATTCTTTGGCATTTATTTTTCGAATATTATCTCCTTCAAATGTCGGCCGCGGTCACGTCTCAGACGGTCCAATTTTCATTGACTACTTCAAGTATTTCGACTAGTAACTGGCGATGTCCGCACATATCCACAAGAAAAAGTCTAACTTTCCGATATCACATGATCTTGATAGCCAAATGACCGGCCCGTAACGTGAAATTATCTGCCCACGGAAGTGTTTAGTCAATACATCATAAAAAACAATCCTTTCGAAGGCGGTAACAACCTACTTTGTTAGATATGAAATACGCGGAGAAACTCAGACAAACTTCTGGGAGAGCTTTAACCGTAAATTATATATTTTACAATCAAAAGAATTAATGAATAATTCAATTGTATCTCCAAAACCCGAAAACAATTATAAACAATAAAAAAATATTTCTTCCCCGCAAATATTTACTCATTGTTGATGAATACAGTGATTTCCATTGCTAAAAGTGAAAATATCACTTACACATGTATACATATTTGTATTTCTCTTATTTCTTATTTAAAATTATTAATTATAAAATTTTCTTCGATTAATCAGACACGCCTTTATAAACAATTGTTTATTTTTTTTCTCCGCCATGCACATTATCTTTTGAGCGATGGCGCTTCTTTATGAGGCTACGACCGAGATATATGTGATTAATTTGCCAGACACTTCGGCATTTGTCAGCCAAATATCTATGCGCCTTCACATCAAACACACGTAGTGTTATCTTGTATTTGTGTATAATAAATTTTGTGTTGCTTTGAGTCCACTTGATATCTGCTCATTCAGCTTTCATCGTTGACTAATCGAATCAACTGGCGTTTTTGGTAATTCTACGATTATATAATTTTCTACTTTTGTTCCCAGCCAAACTTGGCTGCAAAGCATTCGCGTCTGTTTATTGCTTTCTTGCAATTTGTGCTTTTGTTTTTATGAATTTCTGTTGCCACACTTGCCGTTGCAAGCGCGATCTCACGTACTAACAGAAATATCTGTGTGTTAGTACAACTCATTTTCGGGGCAGTAACATCTTAGCCATTTAATCCGACAGTGACCAAATAGTTTATATACCTGTAAATATACATGCATGCATTCTTATATAGTTATACATAATAGTATAATTTATTGTTGTTGGCGTTTTCAGTCAGTGAAAGTGTTTGGTTTTTATTTAGGTTTATTATTTTTGCTTTTGTTTATTGTGCGTAGCGCGTGTGTTGTTGCTTTAGCACTGTTTTTGTAGATACAACAGCTATGTTAGCTGGTCGCGCTCGAAATTTTAATTATCATCGCTTTTCTCTTCTATATGCATATGAAGATGTTAGTACTTAGTCACACGGCTTTGTAGGCACAAATTTTTATAGCTCAGCTCGATTTGAATGTGTGTGAGTGGCTGCGTATGTGTAGTATGCCAAATACAGCTACACACATCGGCGGTTTAGGAACATCATTGATGCTTGTTGCTTATGTTGTAATACGCAATTGATCCACATATGTATGTATAGTTAGATTTTATGAAAATATAATGTGGGCAAAAAATAGTAAGACTTTTTAATTTAAATTTCGCGCGAAAAGTCATTCGTTGAAATATTTCTTTCTATTTTGATATAAGATCTGGGCCAAAATTTACTTAAAAACAAGTAAAGAAGGGCTAACTTCGGGTGTCACCGAACATTTTATACTCTCGCATGATAAAGTGATAATCGAGATTTCAGGCGTGGTTGTGAACCGATTTCACCCATATCTGGTACATGTCATCACGGTGTTAAGAAAATATTATATACCGAATTTCATTG